ATTCCATCGACCTATCATCGGCATGTTGCAGCCGCTATGGCAGTCGTCGTAGAAGCTATGTGGGGCACTATCACTTGGACTGGGCACTTGGCACCGTTTCCGTGTACCGTTCAGTGATACTGAGTGTAGGTCTGAGCAGGACTAAGAGCCGATTACTGTATGTTGTAGAACTGGGCTAACAACAGCTGGGCAAACTCAATTCGGGCTCTTTATCCTGGATGGACATCCCTTGGCATGGGAGACTTGAATGGTTGTTTTCGCACCGCCAAAGTAAACCTAGGTACTCCGAATGGGAATGAATTAAAGGGGAAGGCTCCTAGGAATTGGTTGCATCAATGCCGAAATCATGTGGATTTTGCTGATGTACACCGTCTTCTTCCCCCAGTACGCCCACTCTTTCTTCCCGTCAAGTTTCATCTGCGACCAGTCCTTCCAATAGTCTCTCGCGTCATGCCCTGATATACTTGAAAAAGCACTTATCCGGGTGAAATGTATATGTTACGAGACCAACACTGACCCGGGCCCGGCGGGCTATGATCGGTCGATGGACCATCCATGTGTGAGACTGATTGTTGGTGTGGCCGAGAGAAAGAGGTGGGTTCTTCGCTAGGGTCATCCTAGCTCCTCGAGAGTGGCATTCATGGCTGACTTTAGAAATCGGTCTGTCGCTACAGAGTTTGTTGCGATCCGGATTCAAGTCTTCTTCGATCAAGATGTTGTTTCAGTGACCGTTGATGTTGCTCCTGCGGGATCATCCTTGTTGTGCCGATGAGCATGACGTGAAGGATGTAGTCTGGGGGAAAAACTCGACCCGTCGGCTGGTGTTGTTGGAGATCCAAACTGGCAGCTCGGCACGTGACACAACGATTAGTATCGGCGGCCAAGCAAAATACCTGGGTATCAATCATATAATGATCCGTTCATCACGAGCCCTCTTGGCCTCCAGGTGCTGTCGGTCTCGTTCAGCCATAGGCTCGGGGCTATTTCCTGAGTCATGAGTAGGCGTTTCTTGCGATGTTGAATAGAAATCCTATGTCAAGGATGGTGGTATTCCAGCGACATCGTCTCAAATAATAGGAAAAGCTTTTGAAAACATCATGATTCATACCAGGGGCATCGCGTCGCCTTCATTGGCTGTTGGCAAAATCACCGTTCTGTGTCCATGGCATTGCTGTGTGGTAGGGGCTGCCTAGAGCGAGTACGTCGGTGCGGAAAGAGCATATTCCAGTTTCCAGTCCCAAATTTTAGCCCCAATCATGCACACAACTACCTTCTCAACCTCTCTGCAACTAGGACTGCCAAGAAGAGTGCGATCTTGAATCTTCTGCAAGGCACGCCCGCTCACGTATTGGCTCACGCATTGGAGTCCAATTCTTGGCTTGGTGGCTTGTGATCCTGAGACTCTCCATCTTTGCATTTGACAACCTCAACTGAAGTTGGACGCATCTTGTTGTTCACTGTTATGTCCCCGACGCGGCGTTTCAGCTCGACGGTCATGAGGTTCCATTGACACGAGGCATCGAACAAGACCCCGCTATGTAGCAGATGCACCGTCCTGTGCCAGGAGTGGAGCAGTGCCTGGACAGTAGAACAAGGGAGTTGCCAAGGACCCAAAGGATGTAGCCAAGACGGCAAGCAAGCTTGACGGGCGATCGGGAGCCGCATCCACGGTATTTAGTCGTCTTGGCATCAAATGGCTCCTTCAACGGCTCAAGAATCTTCGTTGAGCAGAGAAAATTCGCGTCGCGCTTGTCAGAGGACGAACTCATGGAACAAGAGGAAGGTAACAATAAGCTCAAGAATACAGTCAGAGCTAGCGCGACCAGTGTGGCTCTCAATCTCGGGGCAGCCAAACCTTAACGCGCCGTCTGACTCGCCCAAGAGGACGCCACCAGCAGAGCCGTTGGTCCTTGCGCCTGTTTTGCTGTTCGGGTTCCGCCACGAGCTTTCCATCAAGGTTTGGGATCTCCGCGCTGGCGTCTACCTTGCTTTCACTGCAGTCGCTACACTGCACCCTTTGTCTGGCCCGTCCGACGAAGACCTCAGGCCAGCTATCCAATCGTCGATGGCGAGACCGACATTCGTGAGAATCAGCATCGCGCCAGTTCGTCTGAAGAAGAAGAAAAACGTCTCGGCAACACGGCACTGGATTTTGCCCCTCACAAATGGGCCCCGGCTCGTTCTTCTCGAGCTTCCACATTGATTCTAGCTCCCCCCTCTCCGCAATGATGGCGCTCTGTCGATCGGGCAAGCTGTAAGGCCCAGCTGGGGTCGTAATCAGCCGTCAGGCCTATATCGTATCGCTGGTTGGCAGACAGAGATTCAATGGGCTGCAAATGACCCTGATGGGCCTAAGCAGGGGGCACCAGTCATCGTCATGCCAAGCCATTACTGTCCTTCCCGTTACGGCAGCCACCCGCACAACGGCTTGGTGGACAAACCGCACTACACATAGGGCCGTTGCTCAGTGGTGGCTATCACGCAATAGTGAACACGACGGGGCGAGACTTGCGCCCAGCATCTCGGTCGGGGCATCGTTCTGAGCACCACAAGTCAACGCGAACACGGCGAGCGATCCAGACCCCTTCCGATGCAGTCTGGTGGCATTGGGTTCCATCGAAGGCAGGTGGAACTGGATACTATGGAAATGCTTCATGTGAGTGGCGCCTGCCGGTTCGCGAGCATGCTGCTCCCAGCTGGCGCTTGCCCCTCCCTGGTTGCTGGTCACACAGTTGCCTGCCATGGTCATCGTTGCTACCTCTCGAGCTATCTAGCTGGGGTAGGTTGGTACGGGGAGGGCCATTCGGGGGCAATTGCGACAAGAGTAGCAGGGGCATCACTTGCCTGAACAAAACATAAATACACCCTTCGCACCCCCCAGCTATGAACAGCCTCTCTTGCTCTGCTCCTCTAGCCTCAAGCCCTTGCCCGCTCCCAGGCCATCGGATTCCCTTTCCCTGCCCTTTCCTGTCCCCCGACACCTCCCGCTCCCTCCTCTGGTCATCTACTACAAGCTATGCGCTTCAACACTCTCGCCAGCGCGGCTCTGGCCGCCAGCTCGGCCGTCATGGCCAAGGAGCTGCCCAAGAACGAGGAGCTGGCCGCCGAGCTCTACGACTCAGGCGTCATCCACGAGCAGATGATGGCCAAGAAGATGGCCCACTGGACCGCCGAGTTTGAGGCCGGTCTGCTGCAGTCTTCCAAGTGGCCCCGCCTCAACTACACCAAGTGTGTCAACGGCTACGCCGAGGCCATCAAGGGTGACCCTCTGCACAAGTTCAAGTGCAAGAACGTGAGTCTCTGCTCTTGTCATCTATCTGTGCACACGTGCTGACAATGGCAGATCGACCTGTACGACTTCATCAACCACAGCGAGCTTGGATCGCCCAACTCGGACGCTTCCTTCCGCACCGGCTCCTCCGCCTGGGGTTGGACCGACCCCGAGTCCGGCCGTGAATTCGTTACGAGCGGCATGTACGATGGCGCCGCCTTCCTCGAGGTTCTCCCCGAGGGTCGTCTCCTTCACCTCGGCTTCCTGCCGTCATATGCCCCTACCGGCCCCCGCTCTCTGTGGAAGGAGATTCGCTCGTACAAGAACTACATGCTCATCGGATCCGAGCTTGAGGGTCACGGCATCCAGATCTTCGACATGCGGAAGGTAGGCTTCTAGCCTGATACACCCTCCAGAGCAGTATCGTACTGACAGACAAAGCTCCTCACCATCAAGGCCGCCGACGCCCCCGTGCGCTTCTCCAACGACAAAGATCTCACAGGTCACTTCGCCGACCTCCCCGTGGGCCGCAGCCACAACGTCGTGATCAACGAAGAGGCGAACTACGGTGTCGCTGTGGGTGCCGCGCCCCGCAACGGCACCTGCAAGGCCGGTCTCATCTTCTTCGACCTGACCGACCCATCCAAGCCCACGAGGCTTGGTTGCAACGGCGAGGACGGCTACGTCCACGACGCCCACTGCCTCATCTACCGTGGTCCCCACAAGAAGTACGAGGGCCGCGACATCTGCTACGGCTACAATGAGGACACGCTCACCATCTACGACGTCACCGACAAGGCAAACTCCAAGATCATCTCCATCACCTCGTACGAGGGCGCGACCTACACCCACCAGGGTTGGGTTCTGGATGTGAACAACCAGGAGTACCTGTTCCTTGACGACGAGATTGACGAGGTACCTTAATCTCCACTCTTCTTTCTCAAGACTCCGTGCTGACCCATTTACAGGAAGAGAGTGCTGGCCCCGCTGCTGACGGCTACCCTGTCACTTACATCTTCGACATCCGCGATCTCGAACACCCCAAGCAGACCGGCCTGTACAAGGCTGCGGTCCGCGGCATCGACCACAACCAGTACATCCGCGACGGCCTGAATTTCCAGTCCAACTATGGCGCTGGTGTCCGCGTCTACGATGTCAGCTCCGTGCCCGAGGACCCCACTGGTGACTCGGTCTGCGAGGTTGCTTTCCTCGACATCTACCCTGAGGATGACAACGAGCCCGGCGGTGGTATCGTTCAATACTCGGGTACCTGGGCCTCTTACGCGCAATTCGACTCGGGCTATATCTTCATCAACACGATCGAGCGCGGCGCCTTCCTCGCCAAGCTGACCAAGCGCGAGAGGTGCAAGCCCAAGAGCTGCAACGCCGACAACTGTCTCCGTGCCCTCCGCTCTAGCTCGGTCAAGGGCCGTCTCGAAGAGAGCCAGGAGTTCTGCGCCGGCTTCCTCGATGGCTGGAACGCCCAGGTCACCGCTGTCCCCGACTACGCCCAGAAGGCGTGTCCTACCAATGTCATCTCGCGTGTCAGCTCGGCGTGCTCGTGCCTGCCTACCGCGGCCCCCACAACGGCTTAGACGGTCGAAGTGGCGACTGAGATGTCCGCTTCGGTATCTTGGGATGAGTATCCCAAGGTGATTAGCGGACCTGGCGATACTGCCAGTGTTTCGTCCATCGTGTCTTTTCCAACCGCCGAGTGCGAGGCCGTTTGAAATGTATCGTGAGAAACATGAGAATGAACATTGGATATCACCCATGCTACAACGCCTTGGGTTGTCAGGGCATGTTTATGGCTAATCCATTCTGTCAATAGTGTAATGAATAATGAATACGATATGTCAAGGATGTCCAGTAATGCAATTGTATGCAGTTGTCCTGATGAAGTTTCCATCCACGTTGGGCGTTAGGAAGCGTTGAAGTCGAACAAAATTTGTTCTCATCTCCACCATCAAACGGGGACTTGGTGAGCTCATTTTCAGATGCTTTCCTGTCAGGCAACTCTTGAAAATCACCGACAAACCCCGCGAGCCCACGCCATGCAGGGTTCTCGTAAGAATGCAACCTCAGGCCGTCCTCCCAGCACCACAGCTCATCCTGCCGCAGGACGGCGCGGCGTCAACCCCGCCAGCTTTCTGCACCCCTCCTGCGCCAAGACACGGCATGCCGCCGCCATTGGGCCGCTCCCCTGGCGGGCCACACCACGCCGAGGCTGAGATGCGTCAGGCCATATTAATCACGGCCTCCTGGCGCAGGACGGGTAGAATACCTTTCCTCGTATTCCAATATTCTCACTGCTTAGGATGAGGGGTAGCACTGCGGTTGAGGATGATTACGGGAGGTGAGAAGATTGGAATCAGGATGTTTGTGCAGTAGTTTGCTGACGCCTGCCGAATCCATGCAGAACAAGTGCGGGCTGAAGTGTTTTCCATGTGAGGGCCGCAGATCCGGCACCATAGGCATGTCGGCGGGACGAAACGGGGATATGAGAGCTGGAGATGTCCCTCTCAGAGGGTCTCAAGACTGTTACATAAACCTCTCAAAGTATTCTTCGTCCGGTTCCCAACGCCTCCGCAACAAGGCCATCGGTGAACATTGTCACCTGCTTCCACGCCTCCAATGCTGTCCCTCCTCCTCTTCGCCGCTGCGGTGGCTGCGCAGTGCACACTGCCAACCACGCCCCTCGCCTCAACCATCACCGAGCCCTTTGGTATCCAGGTTCAGAACCCGGCGTTTCCCGAAATCCATAACCGCTACCTCTATCTTTGGGATGCCGGCGGCGGCGACAAACATCTCTATCTCAACCCCGCCGGCGTTCCCGCGACGACGCTGACGCTCGACGCCGGCGTTCTCGAATTGGGGCCTCTCTTTGCCGTCATCAATGGCGAGGTGCGTTCCTGACCTGTCCTAGTTGACGTCTTGCTCTAATGAACCCAGTACACCGCCTGGGACAACACGACCAAGCTCTTCACCACGCAGCGCGGCGACCCTCGCGCCATCTTCGAGCCCACCCACGCCTGCAACCCCGACACGGCTGCCCCGCAGATCGAACTCACCTTCACGGGCCGCCAGACGTCCCCTCCAGGCGGTCACATCTGCGTCCGCCTCGCCTCGGGCAACAGGCACGAGTTCCGCTACTCGCCGCCGCAGAACCCGGCCCATGACCCCTCCCGTCCGTGCATCCCCGTCGTCCTGGCCCTCACGCGCGACGTTCCGCCCCCGCAGCCCGCGCCGACAACAATTACAACAATTACAACGACGACGACGACGACTGCCGGTCCCCCGGTCGTCCCGTCCGCCACGGCGGCGCCGGGTCCCTTCCGGGACGTGACGGCCCTGGGCTGGCGGTTCGTCGGGTGTGCGCCCGAAGAAGGCCCCGCGGGCGACGGTCTTGGGCGGACGCTGGGCGGGGCGCTGCACGCGGAGGACGGGCTGACGAACGAGGTCTGCGTTGCGTTCTGCCGGGGCCGCGGGTTCCGGTTTGCCGGGTCCGAGTACCGTCGTGAGTGCTGGTGCGGGAACACGCTGGCGGAGACGAGGGTGCCTGGGACGACGGCCGCGAGCCTGGCGGGGTGTCGGCTTCCATGCGCGGGAGACGGGGCGCAGATTTGCGGAGGGAGGGGGTGGATGAGTTTGTATGAGGCTTGTGTGGAGGGGGGGTCGTGTGTGAATGCTGAGTTTGAGTCGTGAGGCTTTGACGGCCCAGGGCTCGATTGTGATGGAGAATGCGCCTTAATCCATGGCGAGAGGTGAGATGCCGTGAAGGGTATATAGAATAGTACCTTACTCCATTGTACTGCTCCCTCCTTTTCGTTCCATCTGTTGATTGAGTTTGTTCGCCTCGGGATGTTCCTTGAACGCTCCATCGAAGGAATCAAATTGTTGAGGGAGGTGCTGCTGTCACGATGAAGTGCGGATCTCATGTCTTTGTTCGGAACAGAATATCTCATTGATGATTATGATGAATTACTTAACGCCACTGTAAATCCTATATAGGCAAAAAGGCGCCCGCGCCGCAACACTCCGTCGTCCGTTTAAGAAGGCTATGTGCAAGTATGGAATATCTCATTGCCGGAGCGTGAGGGTGAGAAGAGTGAAGAGGTCTTCCGGAGGGGATATCCGCGGTCATTTGATAGGGCCCTCCGCAGCTCTTAAATACTTCCTCTCGTATCCCGAGCCCGTAGCTCCGTAAGTGTCTGCTGTCACTCGTGCCATCGTTGCAGCCCGCCGGAGCTGAAGAGCCGGAGCGATAAATGCAAATGATTAACCTTGAAGAGACACTATGATTTTAGTCCATGCGCCGTAAACGTCAAACAGGTAGTCTAGGCACGTTGTATGATTAAACCTTGTTGCGGATGTCAACGCTGGCAGTTTCAAACTCAGCCGTGAGAGGCTCGCCAAGGAGGCCGTCCGAGGGCTATAGAATGATCCGCTGAGGCCAATGCGATTCAGGATATGCGTAATGCTCACGTAGACATTCCCAGCAAACGCTCCCTTGCACGTCATCCAGTATCAGTGCTGCGTGTCCATTGCCCTGTTGGATCAAGATGGAAACTGCGGCCAGACGAGCCACCCAATTGCGCTTCGTCTGCAGTACACCAATGCAAGGTGGTGGATCGAGGAATTCATCCCAGGACTTGATCGATACGGCACTCTGATTCCGGGAGGACGCATTGAAATTCCTTGGGCAATCGCAGGGAAACGAGATGATGTCCGGACGATCGGTCTCGATGCCCAGGACATCGATATCGGCGACCCACGCGCCCTGGTGCTGGACAGAAACAACCGATTCGAGCAGGAAGATTTCTTGGTCGATTTCTCCAGTGCACTCCCAATCTAGTGGAATCTTCCACGTGGTGAAAGACAGGTGCAGAGACGTTCCTTCAAACGTGTTGACCTCCACGCCATCATACTCAAGGTGCGCCACCTTGGATGCGTCAAAGCCTGGCGGCCGTATTCGAGGTTCTCTCGGGGATACCATGAAGACCATGCCCGCATGGCCTACATTACCCACCAGGTGTCTGATTCCGAGCTGCCGCGACACGTCGCTGGGATCCGAAAGGAGTATCTCTGATACGAAAATAGAATCCTCCGAGCATAAAGCGACCACCTCGGCCAACTGGCCGGGCTCAATATTGAAGCGGCCAGACTCGAACATGGCCACACAAGCAAACATGTTGGCGCGCTTCATCTCATCCATGTAAGAAGCGGGGTGGCGCATAGCCCTGTAAGAATCATGCGCGGAGTCGCGGGCGGCTTTCATGCGCGGAGGCAGCCAAAGAGCCTTCAGCAACTCTTGTTCCAGTATTCGAAGGGAGACAGTAGCTCGGGGAAGAGCTTCATAAACATGGCTCGCAACCTCGAGGATTTGCAGAGAAAGAGTCCATAACGGTGAGACGCGAGAAGCAACTGTGATCACGGAGAAGCACCCAGACGGATCGTAGGATGCATTGAGATCACCATGTTCTGACTGCAACACGTAGTCGATCACACGTTTGTTTGTCGGCGTCCATGCTATTTTTTCATCCATCGAGCCAGTCGAATGAGGTTGTTTTCGCTTCAAGCTTTGGCTGCTGATGCGAGCTTTGGTGTGGCGACGAGCGTATAGACGAGCGCTTATGTCCCCCGGCGACTCCTACAAACGTCGAAATATCATTGGTAAGTCTTGGAAAGATGGACTTCTGGCTCCTTCAAAGCTCGGGTTAGAGACTCACCACAAGAGACGTAACTAGATACCTGTAAACCTTGTCTGCAGACACGCTGTTCTTGAGCCATGAAATGCTCTCTGCTAGTGATTCAACTTGGTTGAGTTGAAGACGGCGCAGCTCGCGCTCCAAAGCCTGGGTGCAAGCTGCATGCTTCTCAGCTCGCACCCAAAGCCCAAAATCATGATAGGCAGAAGATCCCAACGGGTATAAGCCGAGGAACTCTGCACGTTCAGAGAACAGTGCGTCAAGATTTATCTCAATGTTGGATCCGGTGTTGGCTGTCGACAGGATTGTGTCATTTTCCTGAACGATGATTCTGCAAATCTCGCCCCTAGATTCGATGAACTGGCGTCGTTCCTGTAAATAATGCTTTTGAGGAGAGGCGACATCTGCGTCATCAGACTGCCTGATGTCAAACAGCCATGTGACATGGCGCTTGCCCACCCATCCACAATTCTCTACTGATGGGTAGGATTTGACAAGATGTTCTTCAATGGGGCTCGTAGTCGCATACTCTCTGTGAGTTCCATGGTAATATGCTACGATGGACTCGTCACCTTCGAGCTGAAGAAGGGAGCTGATGTGGCGCAGGTAGTCAATAGCGGAATCGATATCCGTAGAATGGCTCAGAGCTCTCATGATATGCGGATTGTTGAGTCCAAAATATGGCGCTGCTGCCGTATATTGAATCTCATCACTTCCATGAGGTCCGCTTTTTCCGAGAAAGTTCGCACCCCTTCTCCAGCCGTACTTGACGAGGTTTTGCTCACCCTCGCCGATGTCAGTCACAGCTGAACAGAGACGAAGAAGCCAGGACAACCGGTCATCTTTTCCGTCTCTTGGCCTCAACCGACTCAGCTGAGCCAGGCCTCGGCTAAGCGTTCTGCCCAGTTCCTGGAACCAAAGCAGGCTTACCTCGAACTGTCCATACAGTACGTTCCACTCGCGGAAGATGACTCCGATTGTCACAAGCCACAGCTGGGGCATAGTTATCCGATTCTGCATCTCCTCGTCGCTCCGAACAGCAACTGGCGCGCCATAATAGCGCAAGTGAGACAGAGCCAGTGACCATCGGAGATAATTGTCGGAGGGCGTGCCGTTGTACTCCAACCCCAGGCTGAGTACTCCCGAGCTGGGAAACAGCCCGTCTTGAAAAGACACCTTGGTCGCCTTTTCCTGAAAAACAATCATTTCCGGGTAAAGATGCCAAGCAGAAATGCCCCGGATGACGGCTCGATCGCAAGCCTGCTGAGGGATGTTGCACAAAAGTTTCTCGAGAACTTCCATCGCGCGCGTCCACGCCAAGATGACCGTGCCGTAGGTCGACCCGCCCCTGGGGTACGGGATTGTGAGATTGTTGGATATGAGGGCGAACTGAACCCGTTTGGACGCCATCGACTCACCAGCCCTTCTGATCCAGGACCTCACGCTCGCGTCCCAGGAAGCCAGCTCTGCCCGGGCGAATTCCTGCCTTGCCGCCGCCAGCGTCTGCAGACTCAGCATCTTATTGTCTTTCTGCTGGGCCTGGATTTGCTCCTTCCGCTCGTCGATAAGCTCCACCCAGATCGAGATGGCGGTTTTGGCATCCCAAGCATCGGCCAGCATGCATGCTAGGAGCAAAACGCCAATGGATGGAGATCCCGATGTGGCAGCAGCCCAAATCGAAGTGCAGTCAGCGCCGATGAACGGTCGGAATGGTCCGTCTTCATCCGTGCCCTGAGGGTTGACTTTGGGGAGCGCGAGAATCTCCGACACCCGCTTGCCGTATGCTTTGATGAGATTTGGCGTATCAGGAATCACCTCATTGAAGAGAAAGCCGAGTTTGCAGGCCGTTTTGTGGATGGATCCGCTCTCTGCTTCCACCCTTCTCTTGACGGTCAACGCCGAACCGACTGGGACGAACTCGGGCGATGGGTCACAGCGCCAGAAGCAAACGTCGACGTTCAGGTTCACAAGGGCTACCGTGTTCTCATTCGTGAAGGAGGCACCGGAAAAATTGATCTTCCCGATCGAAGCCATCGTGTTGTAGGCCAGCCGGGTTTGGGGAACTACCTATAGGAGTTGATGGTCGCGGCTGTGCTGTATAAGGTTGACTGTGCATTCGAGAAAGCGGCTTGCTGCACCTTTCATAGGACTTGTTTTTTTTTCTTGTTTTTTCCTTGATTAAATACAGATGATGGGAACTTGAGACCAATGTTAACTCGGCGGTTCCAAAGGGACAGTATCGTAGGTAAGGCCACCAATCCCGGGCGCCCACGACTAGAAATCTGCCTTGAGCATGCGCCACATCGCCATGGCGAGGGGAGGACTTGCCAGATGAGGACATCCGCGGCTAGGCTACCGCCTCGCGCAGGCAATGCAGCCAGATCCCGATAGGCGGTGAGTCCACAAGTCCGATCCAGCTGATGCATTCAGAAACGTAGACATAGGATCACCGTAGTTTTAGCTGGTCCATTATCATTGACTACCTAATCCACTCTGTCACTGTCTCTGCCTCTGGCTGCGGCCTTACTCTGGTCAGTCACAGATGCGTGATGGCATGCATCATACCAACCAGTCATGGCCTTTCAAAGCGCTTGATAGCTGAGTTCCTGCCGCCCGTTGACAAGAACCGTTTCAGCTTCTTCTCCTCATCTTAAGAGTCCGCCATCCATGCTCACGACTTTGGTGACCTGGTTCTTCAGTCACAGAGATGCAAGGTTGGTTAGCTCATCCTTGCAGAGTGCCCCGATTCTTACTTCTCGGGTAGTATTGAAAGTCACTCAATTATGAAAGGGCCTGCTACACTCTGGATGATCTGTAGAAACCAGACAGCCGCGGAGGGCCATTGATCACAACAGAAGGGATGCTGCTCATGTGGACCAAGATCAGTGTCCTAATGAAGATCAGATTCCTACTGCTGGCGACGTAGCGGCGCGTCAACCCTGATACCCATGTACTCGTTCTCACGGACGCACCCGAGGGGCGCGCACCATCGCCTCATCGCCCCACCATCAGCCCATCCTCACCACGACCTCGTGCCATGCAGTCTTCGCTCATCATCAGCTCACACTTTCCGCAGACGGATGCCCAATAGCCCACTCGATATTTCTCATCTCAGTGACGTCGCTTGACGGGAAGCCATGGCTCAAATACACTGCCCGCGCGCCTCTGCCGGACAAACAGCAGCATCGCTCAGCGCGTCCTTACCTACTGGCTGAAACAACGCACCTCTGGATTCCGCGATTGATCAAGCCGGCAACGCAGAAGAGATCAATATTGAGAAGCAGGCCATCACTCAACGCCAAAGAAGAGATTCCAAGATGCCGGCCAAGATGGCGCCCTCGCGTTTGATCGTCCACGTCGACCGCGAAGATCTCTACACAAATCTCGAAGCCCGCATCCGCTACCTGCACTCCTTTCTCGACTTCAGCGGCAGTACGTCCCACATCCTGACCCCCCTTTACGCCCCTCACCTCTGAGCTGCAGCCTCTTGCGTAAAATAGAAGAGGAAGTAGACGTAGAAGAAGCTGACACGCCCCCCCCCGCAGAGGACATCGAAGCCCTGACCTCCGGCGCAAAATACATCAAGGCCCTGATCCCTGCCATCGTCAACATAGTCTACAAGAAGCTGCTGCAATACGACATCACAGCGCGCGCCTTCACGACGCGATCGACCTCCTACACGGGGCCCCTGCCCGCAGAAGACGCCGCGTCCGCAGCGGCCGAGCAGCTCTCGGAAGACTCGCCCCAGATCCTGCACAGGAAGCACTTTCTCCGCGCCTACCTCGCCAAGCTCTGCTCCGACCCTTCGCGCCTCGACTTCTGGGCCTACCTCGACAAGGTCGGCATGATGCACGTCGGCCTCGGCCGCGCCCACCCGCTGCACGTCGAGTACGTCCACCTCGGCGTCTGCCTCGCCTTCATCCAGGACGTCATGACCGAGGCCATCCTGTCGCACCCGCGCCTGGCCCTGCCGCGCAAGATGGCCCTCGTCAAGGCGCTCGGCAAGGTCATCTGGATCCAGAACGACCTCATGGCCAAGTGGCACGTGCGGGACGGTGACGAGTTTCGACCGCCGGGTGACGAGGAGATTGTCATTGAGAGAGAGGGGTATCTGAACGGCAAGAAGATTCTAGACGGAAGCGATGACGAGGGGGAGGAGGGTGCCTCCGATGGTCATGCGCAGGGATCTCCGTCGAGGTTGCCGAGGCCGTCGAGCGCGAGTGTGAGTGCGAGTGCTGGCAGCGCACCAACGTGCCCGTTTGCCGGCATGGCGGCTGGTGTTGACGGACTGAGCGTCGGGGAGAAGTCAGCCGGGCACAAGACAACATCAGCGGAGGCGGCCTAGGCCACCCGCCATGCGACTGCATAGCGCATCATGACAACGAAATGGTAAGAAGTTCATTATGTAGCCTATATTGTATAATACACCTTGATGACAAACACTGCCATGTAAGATAGACATGTCCACGCTCCACGCTTCAAATCAATTTCACCTTGTAAACCCATCATGTTGCTGACCCAACCCGACCCAGCTCAACTGAGCAGGTTAAGCACCCACATGACACCAAACATCATCGCCACGCGCACCCGCAGGTCATTCGCCCACGTGTGCATGGCCGGCATCAAAGGCCGCACCCGGGCCAGGACGAGCTCGTCAAACTTTGAGTTGACGCTCCACAGCTTTTCCGACTCATTCTCCGCCTCCTGGCCGACAGTGCCATCCGTCACCAGCTTCACCAACGCTCCGGTAGCTTCGGCTAGGCGACTGCTGACCCAAAGGAAGATGGGCACGATGAAGACGAGGTCTCGCCACCTGTCGTTGAATAGTGTGCTGTCGCCAGAGAACATGCCCAGACGGAGCACGCCCTTGGTATCTGCCGCGAGGAAGAGATGGAACTGCAGCGTAAAGGTCTCAAGCGAGCACCTGCCCAACCACGCCGCTGCGCTCGAGGTGAAAAATTGAGCGGGTCCGGGCATGTTGCGGACGGCAATGAAACTGAGGATGGGAATCCATGAGATGTATGGATGCCAAGAGTTGTAGATTTCTTTGGTCGGGAAATACTCCCCACAAGCGTGGTAGTAGCCATACATGGCGACGAGACCACCGACAGCGCCAGCATACGAGCTTAGTGCCCAGGCACATGCGTTCGGGTAGCGGACGTGTGCAATGGCGGTCAGCATGCCGACGAACACGATGAAGGCGTCGAGGCCCACACGGAACGTCCACTCGTGAAGATTCCACTTGATGTTGCAGAGTAGACGAAGTGCAGTGAAGCTCCATTCGGGAACAGGCGATTTCATCATGACGAGATATGTGATGAAGGCAGAGATGACAATTTTCCCGAGCAGCGCGCCCAGATTGTCGTTGTGCTGGCGGCCGATGGCGAGAGTGCTGTAAACCACCATGAACCAGAAACTGACAAGTGGAGCAAAGTAGTAGAACATGTAGTCCGTGCCCATCACGTAAGGAAGAGCGCAGCTGAGCAGGTTCAGGCGCAACATGGTAGCTGCGATGCGCTTGAAGCCGAAATCCTTCTTCTTCAGGAAGAAGATGGTATGACCGTAGCCGGTTTGGAAAAGATACGAGGCTACGAGCAGACGGATGAAGATGTAAATGCCGAGATCCTTGGAGGCGCCGGTCCAGTGATACACGAGAATGGCGGCTTGCATCCAGCCCTTCCACTCCTCCGTCTGGTCCCGAGGAAGGAGAACGTTGACCTCGGGGGCCTTCTGCGGAGCAATGGTGTCAGGCTGGGGAGCAGCCCTGGAGCGGCGGATGGTGAAGAGGAAAACGAGGACACAAATGGCGGCCAAGACGGTGAACTCATCGTACACGAACATTTTCGAGGCCTTGGCGAGGAACTGTGTGCGGTCGGCGTGGTAGCAGGCTAACAGAGCCGTCACGAACAGGCCGGTCTCCATGTCAAAGGGGGCACGGCGGCAGGCGCGCGCCTTAAGGATGCCGTAGGTCTCATAGACGACGCATGCAATGACGTAGCAGGTGCCGAAGAACAGGAACATGAGCTGGACCAATGAAGGGCCGCCGTAGTTGGTGCAGCAGGTCCTGTTATGGGGGTAGCCATCCATGGCATCGAGTTTGGCGTTGCAGCGGGCGTTGAGCAGAATGGTGGCCTTGGTCTCGGCGACCGAGTCAATCACATGGAAGCCCGTCTCGTGACGGTCGACCATGGCGGCGGGTTCGGTGCGGGAGAGGGCGGGGAACGCCCAGAGCAGGTTGAGGCTGCGTTCATCGCGGATGCTGTCAAGGTACTCGTCCATCGATTCCACCTCACCGACGTGAAGACCCTTGGGGCCCTTGCGCTTGCTGGGAAGATCGTCATAGTAGGGCGGGGCGATGGGCGCGATGAAGACCTCGTTGCCGATGCCATCACCAGGGATCATGGGGCGTTTGCCGAATTCGGGGTAGTCATGCTGGCGCAATATAGCAGTCACGTTGTCGATGGCCGAGCTGAACTGTTGCAGGGACTCCTCCTCGAAGTAACGAAGCGCCCACCAGCTGCCGAAGCCGATCATGGTCAAGGCGGCTGCCTTTTGCTCCGAAACGGGAACAGGGTTCTCGCGCTCGTGGCGGTAAAGCTCGAGCTCCTTCTTCAGCTCAAGGCCGTCCTTGTCGAGGTCCATGAAGGGGTTCCAAATCTGGCGCATCCGGATGCCGCCAAACTTCATGTCATAGGCAGCATGTGTTGCCGACTCTTTGCGAGTCTTGTTCGCCAGTTCCCTGTCGAGCTGGTCACGTCAGAAAAAAGCAAGATGGGTTTACGCATGGCCGCTGGAGAAATAGCTCGAGCGACAGTCGCTGGAAGGTTTGCGGCAGGAGAGGACTAGCTAGACATACCAGACGGGCCATACCCCAGAAGACCTGACGGGTGGTCGAGTCGCCAGAAAAGACCATGTGCCGGCCCTCCATGCAGCGGTGGATGTCATCGCTCGTGTACTTGCGCATCATGCATCCATCTGGCTGCCAGGTGTTGAAGGGACGGCGGGTGCCGTTGGCATCAACAGGGTCGATCCACTGACCATCGCCAATGAGGGCGCCGCAGCGGTAGGGGTCAACAGAGAAGATGCTGTTGAGGAAGATTGTGCTGAGGAATACGGCGGAGAACAGAACAGTGACCACGCGGGGCCAACTGGAGTTGGATGCCATGTTGTGTGGATTGTCTCGGACGGTTCCGTTTGTGGCTTGCGAGCGTGGGAGAAAGAGAGAGGGGCGACTATGTCGGGTGTATGTGCTTGTATTCGGGCGGGGTCGACCGCACGTTCTGTCCGTGATGCGAGCAGCTGTATAAATGAAAGAACGTCTTGATCAATGGAAAGGGTCGTCAATGTGGCATTCGAGAATATCGGGTTGCCCGCGAAGAGAAAGTGTGCACCGCCTTCATCAGACCAAGTTCGCTGCTTGGTATCGATCGGTTTCGCCCGGCAAGATGCGCTGTCCAGATGCACAGACGGGAAAAACAGAACAGCTGGCGGGTTGTCACACGAGCCGCGAGAAGAACGAAAGAAAGAACAAAAATGACAGATTCGAGAGGATCACGACAGACGATAAACAAGGGCAAAGAAAAAGGCTGGCCGTTCCCTCCGAAGTCGAAGATGGGTAGATCAAAGTTTCGTTGCGCGGCAGGGGCAGAGAAGAACATTTAACAGACCAAGCACATGCAGACCGGGGGGCACCATGGCCAAGACAGGCTGCAGGTGACTTCCCTGGCGTCCCTTGGCTTCATGGATTGGGGAAAGGTACCAGGAACAGGGTAGTGGCTGCCGGAGTAAGGGGCTTTTGGGCCTGCCAAGCAGAGAAGGGAGCAGGATGATTCGGAGAGACGGCTTCTCGGCGGGGATAGAGGGCAGGAGCAGGCGTGGATGGAGAACAAAGGGTGGGTGGATGTCGGCGACAGCTTGGTCGAAACACCGGGTCTCCGCCTCCTGAATGCTTGTCCTACCTACTACCTACCTACCTTAAAAGGTACCTTAACGTATTTTACCTTGAGGTGCCCGCCTAATTAAGATGCTGTTGGTACCCAGGTACTTACTAAGTGGGAGGTCCGCTGTACTATCTGGTACCCGAGATGACACCTGTCGGTGGTCCGAGAGAGAAGCGTCAATCAGGCGTGGCAGCCACACTTCCTACAAAAGGCAAGGAAAGGGCGGCACTTGACCCTAGGTAGTGCAGCCAACCACAACCAAGAAAGGCCGTTGGCTCGCTGCGCTGGAAGGAGGGGGGGGACACAAAACACAGCCAGCAGCAGCCACTCGGGCTCGTGACTCGCTGTTGTTTAGCAGTGGGTGCAACCACGACCCCCCTATTGTCCACGCTCCGCTTCCCTCTTTCCGATGACCTGTCATTAGCTCCGTTCTCCCCAACGTTGCTTAGGTGGTCTAGAGCCATGCTATCGACCCGGACCCTTTCCGATGACCAGGATTTTCTGTGACCTTAATCCTGATTCACTGCACCGTTGCAGTAACACTATTCTGGCTGGCCCGTTGTTTTTCTCCATCCAGCCCACAGAAGGGCGGTATCAGATTCTGCTCATCACTGCCATGTCTGGTGTTCGCTGCGTAAGCTATGCGCTCGCTGTCATCCTTGGCTGGACACTGGCTGCCTCGGAGTGGGAAGACATGTGTACCACCGATTTCACGGACGGCAGGCCGTTTCTCATCGCCAGCTGGCGCTTCACGCAGCGTGGCCACGAATGTCTCCGTGTTCTTTCTTGTGCCATATGTCGCCAAGGGCTGACACGATCCACCCCCCCCCCTTTCTCGACAGCATCAGCACCAACGCAGCGTCTCACCCTCGCCTTTCCAGCGCGCGCCCGCTCTGTACAGCACACCACGTCCTTATGGCACCCAAGCCCCCCCCGGATCAAAATTAGGATCGAGATGCCTTGACGATCACGGAAAGCAAAACAACGAAAGATCGCTGCCGCGTCACGCACTGTTTTGTCTGTCCCGGCCGGATCTGCATCCCTCTGGCGGCTTGTGTGCTCTTTCCCGCCTCCTGAGCCCCGACGATCCCGTCCACTGGATCAACATCATCTTTCCCTGCGAGGCTGCCTCGGCGTCCGCCCAGGCCCCGCACCCACTCGCTGGTGGCCACCACCCACCAGGGCGCGACCAGGCGAGTCGTTCTCCACGACTGGCCACCAACGAACGGCCGTCTATCCGTCCCCTCCCCCTTCCCTTGCACTTGTACCACCCAGATGAAAAGGAGACGCACGCTCTGGTGCTCCGCCCGCGTACGCCAGCCGACGGGGCAGGGTACCAGGCGATTGATTCTTTTCTTCTCTGCCACCCGCCCCTGGACGCCGAGCATCGAACGTATGAGGCGTGGAGATGCGTACCTTTTGTCAGTCATGGTTCCAATGTCGAAAATTGATACTTCAGTACGTTTCGGCATTTCAGAAGCGCTGTGCCACGTCGACGCATTGCAGTGCCAAGCCGCGGCTCTCATCCTTCAGCGTCTAGCGAGCACTACAATGAAAGAAGTCCCCGTCTGAATCAACCGCGAAAACGGGTTTCACAACTTCCGCGCCGCTGAGATCCGTAGTGTTGATCGATTCCAGCGCCTAGTCTCCAGGCTGAAATTACAGCGTGATCGAGTACTGGTTCGATTGACCGTGACTCCTTGATGGACTGATGACATGACATCTACTTGTGACATGCGGCGCATTGGGCAAATACGACGGTAGTTGGTGGGCCGGCTTATCACTTCTATGTATAGATCGCTTCAGCTCGAGGCCTTCAGCTCGGGGCCTGTGAGGCTCACGGGTTCCCAACGTCATGGCCAGCTGTGAACACGAACTCATGTTCAGGTCGCTGCGCATGCATAATTTGCCGTCGGCGAGGTGATGCTACTGAGCAAGCCTGCCAAGCGGGTTGCAAAAGACAATGAGACGTACCGAGTCCCTCCCCATAACTATTCCTAATGTCCAGCTATCCGGCCTTGCATTTCTACAACGACTCTAGAACTTCATTCTAGGTAAAAAGCCGTCCTTTTAAATAGGGTATAGTTTGCTGATCTATACATTTAATAGCCACTGTATTTTTAGATCTAGTAGGTATCTCGTAGTAGTGTTGTGAAGTCATTCTGGGTAGAGGAGATGGGGTGATGTATTCAGTTCAGTGCGTCTCATTTTTTTTTATTTTTTTTTTTGCAACCCGCTTGCCTGCGTGCTCCAGTGGAACCAGGTTCGCCTTGACAGCGTCGAATGCACTGCCTCTGCAAATTCGCCAGTTGGCCCTCCCTCCCTCGACAGGCACACGCGACAGGTCAATTCTGCTTCGCGACCGTGCAGACCAACAATCCAACATCACATCCACCTGAAAACGAGCTCGTGAAACCGGGACCGAGATTGCATTTGAACCTGTACATAGTACACCATCACCCTGCCATGCCTACCCAATGGAGAGTATCCGTACCAACCTACAGTATGCCTATCCTACAAGAAATAAACCGTAATACTTCCATTCATCAACGCCATTGCATCACGTGAACACATTCGCCGGCTCCATCACACTGCGAATCGTATCTGCATACATCGTCAGCTCCTTGCTCCGCACCAAAAGAAAAGAAAAAGATAAGAAAAAAGAAAAGGACATACCTCGCATGCCGCCGAGCGCCTCGAACGCCGCGGCGTAATTCTCCAGCGTCCCCGAGATGGACCGCAAGCCCGTCTGCAGCCGCGCGAGCAGGCTCTCGACCATGGGCCCGCCCATGCCGGGCTCGGGGTACATGGCCCTCGTCTTGCCGTGGACCATGAGCAGGACGTAGGCGCACTGCATGGCGCAGCAGGCAAACGAGGGCATGGTCCGCGGCGCGACGATGCTCGACGTCGGCGAAAGCGTGCTCGGCGGCAGGCACAGCTGGCCGTCGGCGTTGGGATACGGCAGGTCATCGAAGGACTGGGCCACGTTGAGGGCGGCCTTGAGGCAGATCTTGGCCGACTGGTGGCTCGTGAAGGGGAAGGCGCTCGCGGCGCAGCCGTGGCCGCTGTCGGAGGAGCGCGGCGAGGAGCGCGGCGGCGAGATGGAGCCGGTGGAGGACGAGCTGGTCGGCGACGTCGTGGACGTTGCGGACGGGAGGGCGACGAGGGTGTTGCAGGCGCAGGATGGCCACTGCCGCAGCAGCTCCGGCGTGCCGTCCGTCTCTTCGGACTTGGCGCGTAGGTCGCAGTGCTTGGTGGTGAAGAGGGGCACGTCCGAGAAGGCGCTGTAGCGGTGGCACTTGATCCGTGCGCTGTTGAGCTTGATGCGCGACATGCAGCGGAGCGTTCGCGAGACGACCTCTTCGGATGCGTCGAGCGGTGATGTTGTGGATGCTTGTAGCAGCCATCCGTCGGCTTGTGCTGTCAGGGGCTCGAGGTAGGATTCGAGCTTCTTCATGCGCTCGTATATCGGTGCCATGTTCCCGTTGGCGACGAGCGACTTCTTGAGGTCATTGGCGAATTGCGACGCGGCTAGGATTGCCTGCTGCGATTGGATCATGAGGGGGAAGGCCTGGACGCGTCAGCTGTTGCCGCACGGCGGGATCGCGGGGCAACAAACATCAGGATCGCACTTGAGCGCGGGATACTTGGTGGTAAAGGTATGCGCGAAGACGGCAAAGCTGGGATCCTATGCGGTGTGAGCTCTGATACTCCGGAAGGCAGAGGCATGACATACCGAATTATTGACAATGGCGCCTTGGCTGACACAGACATACTGCTCCTCGTCAGTACTTTCACCCACTGTGATGGTGTCATGGCGGGGCAGAACCTACTGTCATCCACCATAGCCTGCGTCGAACTTCGGTGAACTCATCCTCGATGGTCGAGTTGTGCAAAGACAGCTCCATAGCGGCCACGAGTGCCTGTCCCGCCCGCCGTTGCATCTTCTTGAGGTTGCCCCGCTGTGCATACTCGTAGACGCTGAGAACATCCAACGCGACGATGCACTCGTACTCCATTGGAAGCCCCGGGTGGAAAGGTGCGCGGCTGTTCTGGTTCGGTGAACCGTTCAGCGCTTTTGGTGGTTCTATGGATGACTCGGGGATCTCGGCTTCCATCTCGATGGCCTCGATGGCGGACTGCGCTAGGTACTGCGCGTACTTGCGCCGGAAGACGACAGCATCGTGCGAGGTGGGATTGATGTCGTTGGCGCAGGGGATGAGGGCGAGGATGGCGCATATCGCCAGCGTGATTGGCGTTGACGGCTCGAAGCCGGTTTCGAACGCTTCTGCGCTGTTCTGAAAGTACGGGACGGGCTGGTCGGTGGGGACAGCCGTGGGTGGCGGCAGAATAGGGAGGTACTGGTGAAGGAAGACGTAGTACGCATCAAGACTTGGCGCGGGGTGTTAGAGCGCAACTGATCGGCGGACACAGGAGGGGGAGCTCACATGTCGCGGTCATTCCTGTACGTCCTCACCATGGGGACGGTGAGACTGGCGAAACCGAGAGAGGCTTCCGACGTGCTGTCGCCGCTCGCCTCCTCTGGCATGCCCATGAAGAGGCTGTCGAAGATGAAGTCGCTGTCCGGAAACACATCTTGGAGCTGCTTGAGCCCAGCGCCGGGGTCGATGTAGTCTTGGATCAAAAGGGCTGCGACAGGGGGTGGTCAGCAACAGCACGTGGCCGCGTTTGCGACGGCATGCTTACGCTGCGAGGGAACCTCTTCTTGCGGCGGCTCCAGTGAGAAGAGCGCGGCCTGCTGCGCAAGCTCGTCGCACGTCTTCTGCTTTTTCCGGATGCGGGCGCCTCCGCGTCGACTGGGTCGATACTGACAGTCTCGGGATCGGCTCTGGCACTGCGCGACTGTCAGGAGAGGTTCTCATACGAGTGGGGTCTCAAGACCTCAGTTCAGGCCAAGTCTGCACTCTCACGTACACTGGCACAAGGCTTCCCGCCATCGCATCTTGTCCTAGAGGCGCGACTTGGTCATGTCAGCCAATGTTGGGCCATGCAATCACCGATTCCCACTGTGGATGGGGTTCGGCAAGGCGGAGCATCCTTCGCGGGGGTCTCCTCAGACGTCGGTGACATCAAACTGTCAGGGGTCCACGGGTCGGTGCATCGTGACAGCGAGAGGAGCGGGTGCGCGCTTACCATGCCAGACACGCAATCTTGACAGGGGGCGTTGCGAACTTTTTCTTCGCAGATGTCGTTGGGGCGACAGCAGGCTGCGCGACTGCTTCGGCAGTGGCGCTCATCTGAATATCAACCCAGGGATGGGTTGGGGCGGGGGAAGAAAGGAGTCCGAAAAGAGTTCGTATTGCCACCTATCGATGTGAGCTAGATGTACAATCGCGTCGCTGAAGGCGAAAGGTCCTCTGAAGCGTGGATGGGCTGGCAAAAGAAACGTTGACGGTGGGTTTGGTGTTTTCTCGTGAGATGAGTAACAAGCCTGAGATCGCCTCATGTTGGAAACCCCAGATCCACGAGTGCCGGCCTTGACTCGCGAGTGCTTAAGTAAGCTGAACTTACATGCTGCTAAGTCACGTGGAGGCGTCGTGCCTTATTGTGTCAAGCGGGTGGCTTTGTGTGTGTCAATGAGCGGTCGCTGATTGGTTCCACGTTCCGAGCATTCCATATTGGGTTCGTTGCAGGAACCTCGTCGACCTTTGCACTCCTCCTTCCTCTCGCACCTACGCACCCCATCCTTGAATCGACCATCCATCGTGGTGAGCTATGTCAGCGTCTTCTCACCAAAGGCGCAGAAAATGCATCAAAGTTGTACGTTGCGCATCAGGCAGCTGCAGGTTTTGTCATCAGACCAGGTTTTGAACAATCCATCTTCCACCCCTTCCGTTGGTCGGCCATCCTACGGTGCAAACGCCCTGCTTCGTTACTTCACCTTCTGACTGCGGCGGTTATAACGGATATGGCCTCAGCTGCTTCAAGCCTAACTGTTCCATCCGGAGGGCTGAGACTGTCTGACCTCAAGGACATGACGACTCTGTCCAGGCTCAGGCAACATTGCCACAGTCCATCCCAGAGACGCCGCCAATGACTCAGCCCATGAGGGCAGCGCCGTGCTGTGATGAGTGGCCTGCATAATCTTCGACCCAATGGTTCAGGCAGAACCAGTTCATAAGCAGGCATGCACGTGCAGTACGTCATCTTGGCATGCGATGTCGGCGCTTGGGCTTCATTCCGAACACGTTCAGTCATGCGAGATTCTGCAGGCCGAACGGAATCCATGTTGGACGCCGCCAAAACGCCATAGCCCGGCCTTTGCGGCTCCACGAGATCGATACCGGGAATAATTGTTGTATCTACTCAATGCGAGAACGGGGCTTCGTCCCCGCCAGGCGGCAGTAGATGGACCACGAATCCCTACTCATTTCGCAGCAACAGGCCCCGCAACAACAATGCAAAGAACCTCGTCATGTCAGCGACGCCGCCTTGCATACGTCAGCGACTTGCCATCATCAGATCAAACACCTCAGCACTTCAAGCGCACTCAGGTATTCATACATTGTCTGTCCACTGGTCGAGTGACCCATGGCCAGCGGTCGGGTAGTTTACTGCACGCGACGGGGATTCGGAATGACTGATAGGGCTACTGAGGCTGAGACGGGCGCACCAGGATCTATCCTCAAATATGAAATGAGTCTGCGAGGCCGTCAGCCCAATCTAGTGTCGATTCGCAAGCCTTTGTGAAAGCAGGGCCGGCGCCTGGGCCGAATGGCAGACGAATTGAGCTGACGTGAGCCGCTTGCTAGCGAAACCCCCTCCTCGTAATCCACCTTTGGAGGATTCAACGACCTCGGCCTATAATGTGTTGTCGTTTCGCCAACGTTGATACGGTTACGACTTACCTTTTTGGGTATGACTACCTCGAATGCTCTGGACCGTTGACGACGCCCGTACTGAGTACGCGGAAGTGAGCGCGACGACATGGATCGGCAGCAACGCATAATGCCATGCCACACACGTAACTCGCGAAGCCGCCGATGCTCGTTGGGATCAGCAGCAAATCCGATGCAATGTGACTGTATGGTAACCTGGGCGGGTATAAAGCAGATGCGATCTCCTCCCGGGCCCAAGGTTGGCATTGACGAGTCGTCAACTACTGCTGCGATTTGTTCATTTACTCGTAGAACGCTCCCAACTCACTGCAGAACTTCGCCGCCTCTGTCAACGCATACATCAGATCCAGTCCAACATGTCTGCCGACGGAATGCTTGCATACGCTGCGCCCTCGCTGTTCCAGCCCCATCGCGCGCGAGATGCCATTCGTGACGCTCACAAGGGCAAGATTCCTCCCCTTCTCTGTTACTACGCTGGTCTCTCCTCCCTCCCCGTCACCCGCTTTCTCGCCCCTTTTGGCTTTGATGCCGTCTGGATCGACTGGGAGCACTCCTCCTGCAATGTTGAGACCATGACAAGTATGGTGCATGAGGCCATCTTCATGAGCCAGGGCCGCACCATACCCTGGGTTCGCGTTCCTGGACACGACCATGCCGCCATTGGCTACGCTCTGGATGCCGGTGCTAGTATTGTCATCCCCCAGGTCGACACTGTCGAGCAGGCAAAGCACGTCATATCAGCCGCGAAGTTCGGTACCAAGCAAAACGGCTCGCGTTCTGCGCCGCCGTTCCGCCTCATCCCCTTCGTCACCGACCACGCCTACGACGGCCAGGGTGACATCCACAAGGCGCTGAATAATCAAGCTGCCATCATGATTCAGATTGAGTCTTTGGAAGGTAAATATGGTTCTACTAGTCTACTTGCCAGCAGGTGACTGACGATGCAGGTATCAACAACCTCGACGATATTCTCACAGCCTGCCCCGACATCGACGTCGTCTGGCTCGGCACCCTCGACGCACGCATCAGCATGAACCTTCCCGGAAACAGCGGCCTCGGCGGCAGCGAGCCTGAATGGACGGCCGCCGTCGAGAAGTTCCGCGCCGTGCTCGACAAGCACGACAAGCCATATGCTGGATTCGCGATTCCCGTGGCACCTTATGGAACGCCGGAGAAGTTCAAGGAGGCAGCCAAGCGGATGAGCTTCATGACGTTTACGGCTGACGTTATGCACCTCATGGCACTGGGTCAAGACCTGCAGAATGCGAGGGGACTCCTCGCCGAGGTGAAGACGGAGAAGGAGGCCAAGACCAGGAACGGAGAAGTCCAAGCCAACGGCAGTGCCGCGACAGTGGCTACCAATGGTCACGGAGGGAATGGCGAAACTGTGATCGAAGCTTGAACACAGGATGGACAACAATGCGCAGCCATGTGTACACGATAGACTAGTAGCGAGTCAATTGCATAGGATAAGACCACGTCAAACTCCTTCCTCTCCTCAGCTTGCCTTCTCTTCCCTCGATAAGCCTCGGCGCTTTCACATGAATCGAGACTGGCGGTTGGTGGAGAACCTTCGGTCATCTTGTGCCCAACTCTATCAGCTGCACTGCGAGTAGTAAGGCGGCGACACGGCCTTACACGTGTACGGAGACTATCACACGTCAGCATCATGCCCTCTACAATCCGTCTCGTAGCACCCGCGCCACACTACGACCATGGGTAAACTCACCGCGCAGACGGTACACCCCTTGTAGTCCTGCCCACCACACTGCCCAAACTGCTGCACCGAGCATGCCGCAGGCGGGGCGCCCGCCGTCGGCGCCGGCGGCGCCACGGCTGTTCCCGTCGTCCCGGAGCCCGGCTTACACGTCACTTCGCACCCGCTCTTGCACCCCTGGCCCGCAACGATGCTCCTCCCACCGCTGGCGACGGCCGGGCCGGGGATCTTGTACGACGTCGTGGGCTGGTAGATGCTGAACAGGATGCCGGGGTCGGTGGCCGCGTAGGCGCCGGGGAACCGGACCGTCGCGGGCTTGTTGGTGCCCGTGCCGCCGGCAATGGTGATCTGGTAGCAGGTCATGTAGAACTGGGCGCCCTTGGGCTGGGACGCCACGTGCAGGGCGACGACCTCGGCGCGCAGCAGGTAGTCGCCGTTCTCGAGGTCGGCAGGGATCTTGACGTCCATGCGCCCGCAGCAGGCGTTCAGGTCCTTGACGCCCCAGTTGTCCTCGTCGGCCTTCGCGGCGCCGGACTTGGCGGACCAGCCGTTCTCGTGGATCTTGAACCAGCCGCTGGAGCCGTCGGCGGTGGAGGCGTCCGAGACCTTGGAGAGGTAGACGATGACGGGGCCGAAGTGGTTGCCGCCGATGGCTTCGTTGGCGCAGTTGCGATCGCCGTTTTGCTGGCCTGTGTTAGTGGCTGAAGCTGGGCAGACCAAGGCGAAAGGCAGGGTTGTGTTGAGAGAGTTATACGTACCGCATGCATCTCGACAGTGACAGTCCCGCCGGCCTTGACGGGACACTTGCCACCCCTGCCGCTTGTGCCGCCGACATTACAGACAATATTGGTGCTTGTCACATCCTCAACCGGGCTATTATTAGGCGGGAGACGCGCACACTGGGAGCCGTGGCCATGGTCAGCAGTCATCAGGCGACAAGGAATGAGGTGAAACATATATAATCAACTCCATCCACCCAAAGCTGCTGAAAGGTAGAGTGGGCAATGGCTTGGCTTGCCAAAGAAGCCAGAATTGCAACGACGTAGGACTTCATGCTGAGGCTCAGCAGTGATCTGCGAATCAAAAAAGCTTATTTATGAGGACTCGACGTCTGCTCCCAGAGTCAAATCACGACATCGGCAAACATGGGGCCGTTCTCGCATTTGTACCTCAAGCCGGGTTTGCGGCACAGCGAGGAGGCATCGCGATGACCAAAGATGACCAAGATGTGCTACCGGCGCGCCCGGGCACCTCCTCTCCCTGTTGACCAACTTCTTGACTCCAGGTAATCTATCGCGCGGACTTCGGCGCCAGTCAGAGCGTCCAGAAGCCTCGCGATATTGGCAGCAACCACGATATCATACAGGCCGTGGTTGCAGTGCATCCATCAACGGCGACCACGCGACTCGGCAGATGTCTCGCTCCACCAACGGGCTTGCTTAGGCGACAGTACCCCAGACTTGGCGGGGCCGGCTGAATGCCATGCATGGAAGTCGACTATGTTCAAGGCGGTGCTTATAAGAGGCTGCACGCACTGTTTGCAGTGCAATTTATGCGGGACGTCGGGTGAGATGTCACGGCTGGTAAAGCTCCGTGGCCAGAAACGGTGGGATGTGAAGTGTGAAACTGCCCACGTTGTCGTGACTGAATGGATATCGTCTAACCTCATCAATTTGTCTGCAATAACCTGTTTTACTGGAAGACAGAATCACATTTTCTTTTGTGCTGGTTTTCTGCGTTTGCCACGACTGAAGGTGGACTTGGGAGAACAGAAAACATACAAGCGGATCACAATCAGTTCAAAGAATAAATCATCGATGCTTCGATCCGCTCACCACACCAGGAAGCATATCAACCCAAAGAGAAGGTACTCCGATCAGAAAAACTACCCCTCAATAGGATCAGCGGATCAAGGCCTGACACAGTAGCTACGTGCAAACCCCCTACAAGGAGTCGCACCATTGGAGGAAATCCTGCTCCATTCTTCACTCAAGCTGGCATCCATGTCTCTCACATGACGGTTCTTGCAATTTCACCACCCCCTCTCCTCGTATGACCAACATCAAGCAAGGTGGATCAGCCAGTTCAGTAGAGAGCCTGCCCACCCGTAGCACTGATGACCTGCCCAGTGATCCACCCCGCCTCAGGCCTACAAACCCAAGCAACAACAGATGCGAACTCTTCCGGCGTGCCGACCCTGTGCTCCAGCGGCGTGTTCTTGCAAATCCCGTCGACCACACCCGGGATCAGCTTCTCCGTCTGCCAGAGCAGCTCGCTGTCGACGGTCCCCGGCGTGACGCAGTTGACGGTCGTGCCGTTGCCGCCGAGCTCGTGGGCAAGATGGCGCGTCACGGCCTCGAGCCCGGCCTTGCTAGCGCCGTATACGGTCAGCCCACGAAAGGCCTGGCGCGCGGCAAGGGAGGAGATATTGACTATGCGGGCTTTCGGCGGCAGGTGGGGCTGGACGGCTTGGGACATGAGGAGAGGACCCTGGAGGTTGGTGGCTAGCACAGAAGTGATGTGTTCCGGCGTCACGTCGGCGAGGGTGGCGGGGGGCGCGATGCCGGCGTTGTTTATGAGTATGTCTATGATAAGAGGAGACGGGGCACGCCACTCTTCCAGGGCGGCAACGATCCCGCTCGGGCCAGCGGGCGACGAGATGTCAGCGCGGAAAGTGAACACCGCGGGTTTGTGAGGAAGATTGCAGATGCGCGTGGCGAGGTTGGCTGCGCGATCGCTGCTCAATTCTGTTAGGTGATGGATGATGATCTGGTGAGAGCTATTAGAGGGGTTTCATTTAGTATGAATGTCTAACTTACATCTGCTCCTCACTCGCGAGCTTCCAGGCAACAGCAGCACCGATGCCGCGGGCCGACCTGTGATCAGGGCCGTCTTGCCAAGCAGTGGAAGCGCTGTACCACTGTCTGTCATGGTGAAATAGGTGATGTGAGAAACTCTGAAAGCCAAGTGCAGCGGGATAAGAGTTGAGTGATGAAGGGGGGCAATTCAACACTGCCGCCCAATTTCTAGCAAACGATCGAGGGCTAGGACAGGCCTGTGTCCTCTCAGCCGACGACACGCACGATGCAGTCTGCTGTGTCACTCCAGAAACTGTTAGAATGGTAGCTATTGTGCACAGCCTTGCCGATGTATGGCGACAGACCCGCAGGTCCCCTCTGCTCTCCGTCTCGCTTCCGAAAGAGGGGAATGTAAGAGTCACGGATCAGGGTCCAGGGCCATGATCCGATATCTCCGTCATGATGGACCTTTGCTACTGGGATGAGAGGCAAGTGTCTCCTCTCCGGCCGAACTCGAAACTTCTCCAAAGTGGAACCTTTGGAAGGTGAGTATGATCTGCAACCACCCTGGTGGTCATTCATTGAACGCACTGTTTCAAACGACCAAGTTTCAATACCCGAGGTCGTGTAATTGTAGGACGGCTGTGGAATGAGATTTGAGATCTGGTATCAAGAGTTCCCACGACAGCAAAACAAAAATGAAAGTTGATGAGGACGAGACTCGAACTCGCGCGGGTTGCCCCACCAGGAAATCTAGTTAAGGTAGACCTTAACCTGGCGCCATAACCAACTCGGCCACCTCACCGATTGATGGCGGAACGTGCTGGGGATAGTCATTATGATTTCATGCCCATACAATCTCGGGCCTAAGAACTAAAACGAGACCATAGCGACACTCTACTCGATCTTCGATGCTGATCGAAGGGGTTTCGTTTCAAAATGTCTTCTTTCTTCTGAAAAGGTTTAACAGCTGTGGATCCTCAGTTTGATGTACAGCATACCGCATACCTCTTGGCTATGCAAGGTTGGTATTGAAGATGTGTAATCAACAGATTGTGGTTGATGTCTGAATTGACAGACAGCGCCTGAAGGTCCATTGACCATGACTGAGGACAGCACAAGAGTCCATGATCATACAGAAAAAAAAAGGCACACATGTGATGATACCGTGCCAGACGCGGTTACTTTTGTGCATAGTTGGTCTTCGTTCGTCGATACGTTTTGATGATATGGTATCAACTCCGAATTCCAGATGTTTCCCTGTGCAAAACTCTTCTTTGATGCTCCTCCAAGCGTCTTAGTGATTGTCTGCCAAGGGCAATGCTGTCAACGCAACGCCCCTGAAAGGAGCACAATATGGCCTTGTCATCGGGTGAATGAAAGACCACAGGCTTGACGCGGTATACGATCGGCAGACCAACCTGGCCTCTTTTACTGTTCGAAAATATAAATCTCCACAGACTCCGGCTCTTGGCCCATGACAGGAAGAGGCAGGACGTCCTGCTCGGCCACAAACCATCCCCCCTTTGACATGAGGTCAAACAAGGCCTTCTCCGATTCGTGCCGAGGTTTCGTTGCAAGCAGAACACGCGTCGTCGCAATTTCCCCCGCGGGCACATGGTTCTTGTTGGCGTCGTGCAACGCCGTCAGGGTGCCAACCAACGCTGGTAGCATGTCGACGTTGTATGTGCAGTCACTCAAAACAATGAGATGCCAGAAATTATCTTGAACGCGTGGGCCAAACTTGCCCTTTCGCCCATCCTCCCAGTCGAGACTCTCAAATGAGGGTATTTTCTGGGCCTCGCTGGGCAACGTTGATGCGAGACAATCAATGTTGGCTTGCGTCCTGTCCTCAGCCTCGGGAAGATCTGTCAGCAGCAGCTGCGATGACTGCCTTTGTGGACCGGAAAGTAGAGCCGCGATGCCTAGACCCAGAATGCCCACACCGCAACCCAACTCCATAATATGGAGAGGGCCATCAGAGGCCAACACCTGCGTCAATTTTGGAACGGTTCCGCTGTTCACAGAGGACGTCCCGTTCTCCAGGAGGATCGATGTCGCGACAACGCCGGCGTCCCAGATATGGCGCGCAATGCTCTCCCCAATGTCTTCTTCGACCTGGACAAAGAACGGCGCCTCTTCACTGCCGATGCGTAGTCTTCGGAACGAGACATGAGGGCGCTTCCACGTCAGGATAGTGAACGTCCGCCCAGATGGGCATGATGCGACCGCGGCCATCGGATCGAAGGGATGACACGACATCCCTGGTGCTGCCTGCCCAAGCCTGTGCGGTGGGGAAGACAAAAACACGAAGGTCGGTGCTGGAGCAGATGCCCAGAGGCAGGTCTGTCTTGATGACCCTTGTTCCTGGTCGCCATTCAAGAATCTGAGAGGTCTTGATGTCGGACGGCTGGGGCTTGCCACCTTTGGCGTCAACTGAAGCTGCATAGGCGCCTGCTTTCAGCTTGATGGGGGCTTCAGGGCTGAGAAAGGAGTCTCCGAGGTCCGTGGTGATGGTCAGGACGACATGGACCGATGATGCCCCACGTTGGTCGGTGGAGAGGGCCGGCGGCCGCAAGAGGCGGATGTAATGCATCGCGTAGCGGAGGCGGGGATACAAATCTGGAGATTCCTCACGAGCAGATGCGTTTCATCTGATGGCGTCATGCAATTGAATACGTGAGCGTGGCCATCTCGTCGACCATGTCCTTAGTCTATGGGTAGAAGCTTCTCAGATGTTGAGATATCGTGGAAATGGATGACACTGTAGGATTAGTCACCCCATTTTCCGCAGGCAAGGACCCCCTGTACTCCAGGACGGGCCACGAGACGACTCAATCGCCATTCTTTTTCGCTTCAACATCAAAGACATGCAGCTACCACCACGAGAGCAATCACGGCATCCGCGATCGCAATGCACCCCACGAAGATGAGCGATATCGTATGCAAGCGCATCGAAAAAGCGCCATCAAAAGTCGGAGGTCGCCGTTATCAGCGGCCAGCGACCAGTGATGACCCCGCGGGCAGCCCCGATAAGGACGCCGTCAGACTCAGCTGTCGACGCCGCCAGCGGAATATATCCATCGCCATGGCTCAGGCAGAGAGCTCGACTGACCACTGACTTTGACCTCGCAGCACAGATACCGCGATCATCTGCTAACTCTTTCGCCACCATGCCGTCCCACACATCCAAAGACCTGCTGGCAGCCCTTCTCAAGACGACCGAGGCCGACATCATCCCCCTGACGCGCGAGGGCGTCACGTCGGGCAGCAAAGTCTTCGGCGCTGCGATCCTCTCCGCCGCCTCCCTGGCACCCTACACCGTCGCCACCAACGACGAGCGCACCTCGCCCCTCCTCCACGGCGAGATTAACTGCATCCAAAAGTTCTACACCGTCTCCCACCCGGACCCCGCCTCGCGGCCGAGCCCTGGCGACGACTGCGTCTTCTTCGCCACCCACGAGCCCTGCAGCCTCTGCCTCAGTGGCATCACCTGGTCCGGCTTCAAGGAGCTCTACTTCCTCTCACGTACGAAGGACAGCCGGGACCGCTTCGTCATACCCTACGAC